ATATATATATATATATATATATATATAAAGATCCAACTGACAGCCTGCAACTATTATAAAAACGTGTTCCTATTACGGAACAGAAAGGCTTAAAAAATATTCTGATGGATTATGATAGTGTTTTTGGTTGCGAAAAATGACAACGATTCTGTATTGCCGTTCAGTATCGAACCGTAATAATACAATTATTCTTACTGTTATTCTATGATTGTGTGAAAAAGCCTAGTATACGGACAATCTAATGCTCTCAGTCCAAGGAGAACCGAATCACTACACAGTAGTACTCACTTGGATTGACTTCTTTTTCCTAAAGTGAGTTGTTTGACCGCTAACCAAGTGTGAAATATGATAACTCACCTGGACACGCGGTTCTCCGTAAAAAGAGAACTAGAGCCGGAACATGCCGGTAACTGGCGATTTTGGGCGACGAGTGTGGCGTTCGGAGGTGGTGGACCGAATGTACATTGGTGCAAGGCATACCGCCAGAAACCACCCGCCCACTCCAAAACGGGAAGTCTAATGTCGCTCGAGATGAAGCCTTCTGCCAGCCGCGTGAGAGCATCAGCAACACGGAAGGAAAGCGCTGGAGGCAGGACGTGAGTTTGATTACCAAAACAACGAGCAGGTCGGGCAAACAGGCGTAACTGGTTAAGCCCACACTGTAGAAAAGTAGACTGACGTGCTGATTTTGATGAGTTAGCCAACCTAAAGGGAATGTAAACGAAAATGAGTCAGTGGATAGTCGAACATTTAACGCTTCGTATTCGGGAGCGGTGGAACCGGTTTATTCTACACAACAGCAGTATGGCCTGTTGCAATAAAAACAAAACCATGCGGATTAGCCTGGTTAATCGTACAAAGTTAATGGCAGAGGCTCAGTATTACGCAGAGAACAATCTAAACCTGATAGAACGTGACAACACAGTTTCGCAGTGTATGCGAGCTGACACATAGTCCGTGATGTGTCCACCGTAGCTGCCCAAATAACTTATCCACTTGCTCCATTACTTCCCCGGTTAGTGAGTCTGGGTGCTGGACCAACCCAGTCTTGTAGTAACACTTTACACTTTGAAGGTGAAAAACGCATACCGAGGATGGCTACGCAGTAGCCGAAGGTATCCAGAAAAGCTTGCAACTTACCTGCATCTTTCTTAGCAGCGCAATGTCGTCTGCATACTTCAGATCAGACAGTCTGCCACCTGGAAGTAAATCGATACCGCTATTCTCGCACGAGGATAGGGCTGTTTCCACAATCAAATCTACGACAAAGTTAAACAGAAAAGGAGGGAGAGGGGCAACCCTGATGAACACCACTTTCCCTGGTGAACTCAGGCGAAAAAGTACCTTAAGTCCGGACTCGACTTTGGCCGATAGGGGATTGCATGCCATTATGGAGATAATTAAGGCTTTTGATAACTTTTGCTGCTTTCATGATCATTTTGACAGACGAGCGGACCTCATAACGGTATACCATCCAATACGGGAAAACACCGAGTCTCTTAGACGTGGAAGGTGCAGATCTTGCAAACCGATCTGCCGAAGGCAAAATCCTTGCTCACTTTTACATTTCTTAATGAGACACTTCACACTGATGATTACGCCGCTGTCTCAGACACGAACGGTAAGCGCAAACAGTGCATTGTATCGACCTCGGTGGGTAAGAATGCGTATTGCGTGTCTCATTCACGGAGAACATGCGACCCGCTCGCCTAAAGTGGTGGCAGATTTTTGTCGAATATCGCCATTGCAAGCGTGGTTAAAATCTAACGGACAGGATTTTAATGTTATGCACTTTTTGTGCTTTCAAACACTCGGGATCGGTTAAACAAATAATGAACTGATGAAACATTGCTAGCATTTGGATAACTCAATAAATTACAAATATCCCTTTGTTTATTCGGAAAAAAATGCCATACCTATACAATATATTCGTGAATGAACATGACAACATTTTACTCACTGAATAGCGTTTCTGTTAACAAGATCATTGGCGATCTCCCACCACTGTTGCTGGGATACAGTTGGGATGGCGCACGATGAAAGCAATGAAATAGGCTTCCCAAGACAATCCGACGTTGTAGCCATGACAGAGTGATCAGACTGTTGGGCTGATTCAAGAGCCAAACAAGACATGGTACGGACACAAAGATAGACTACGTTGCACAGCAGGAAACAGACTAAATCCATCTGGCAAATTCCATAACAGGCGGAAACCGATGTACCACGTGGTCGTGATGTCGCAGGTACCGGGGACGAA